ATGATCGTGCCAATTCTTTTTGATTTTGACACGAGTCTTGATCAAATAATACTTCCAATTTTGCATCTTCGAAAACCTTCTCTCTTCCACCGCTATGCCGGTTTTCGACGTCAAAATCACCATTCTTGAAGCGTTGAAACCACTCACGACACGTTCTTTCATTAATAGCGGCCTCACCATAAGTATTTGAGAGCATTCGATGAGCCTCAGCCGCAGATTTCTTCATATTGAAGCAGAAAATTAAAACCTCCCGCAAATGACGAGAATTTGGCTCGTAAATTGATTTTCAATCGAGAATAACTTTATGATGCAGACACCAATCGACTAATGTTTCTATGTTGACAGATGCCCAAGTTTATTGTATGACGTCTATAATCTATTTATTTCGATCACCACTTACCGCTAAAGCCATCTATAGGAAAACGGCGGAAGCAAAGTTGTATACCTAATATGTATACATCGACTGCTAGATAAATCCTAGGACAGTCTCGCTATGGCGAAGAACGCTTTTCAGTGGCAGTCTTTATCGAGTTACGTCGCGCGAAACACTGTATTGGATGTGAGTGACTTCAACCTGTAAAAATATTTTGCCAATAGTGACGGAATATTTTTGCATGTTGAGTAAATTATGTGATTAAATGTTACGTGATTGTATTTAAAATGAAGAATTCCGATGAGCCTCCAGCCAAACGGCTAAAGATTAAGAAGGAAGAGGATAAGGAAGAGGAGGAGGAAGAAAAGGATGACAATAACGAGGAAGAGATCAAGAATTCCGATGAGCCTTCAGCCAAACGGCTAAAGATTAAGGAGGAAGAGAAAGAGGACGTCAGCATCGAAGAGTCCTTCTCGCCGATGAGAACATTCTCGATGAAAAAGAAGAGAAGGAGGAAGAGGAGGAGGAAGAGGAAGAGGAGGAGAAGGATGACGATGACGAGAAGAGATCATATACATCAACGACTTCCCTTTCAATTTTAACAATATAAGCGTTGAGGAGTGCATGGAGTACATGATGGACCTCCTCCACTTACAAAGCGAAGAATAGCTGTTCCACGTTCTCGAAGAGGTGATGGAGGAGGTGGAGAAGTAAAAGGAGGAAGAGGAAAAGAAGGAGGAGGAGGAAAAGAAGGAGGTAAGTAAAAATATTTTGACATTAATTGTCACATTTTGGACGCGGCGGCGGCGGCGGAGTGTGGGGTGGCGACTGATAGCACCAGGGCCTTCCCGCATCTTTCCCCCCCTCCCCATAAATTCCTCTCGCGACTGCTATGCCAGCGCCGCCAGGTGGCTGTATCCGTGGATTCGAACCCCCATTGCTATACTACTCAAAATAATTTTTACTCCAAATTGTCTTCAAAAATTGACAGATTTATATTATAATCTGAAAATTTTTGACAAACATGTTACTAACAAATATTAAATAATGCAAATTTTTGTATTGTTTCGTAACTTCCAAAGATATATAATAGTTTTTAAGCATATACGTTAGATTTTAATATAGAATCGTAAAAAATATGTGAATGAATATTAAAAACAATAGTTTATTTTTCGATTTTCTTCATTAATTGTAATTCATATTATGGTCTTAGTTGCATCAAGAGACGCGCTAAGGGAACGCGAAGCGTTCTTAAAGTGAGATACTGCCAGGTATATTAGATTCAACATGATTCGAAGGAAAAGAAAGACTAACTTCGAGCTCTTACCAGTTAGTGATGTCTTACAAAAGATTGTTTATTTAATTCAGAAGTTATTACAAATTTTTATTACAAAATTTTGCACTATAAAATATAGCAATAATAAAAGATACATTTTGCACTATAAAATATAGCAATAATAAAAGATTCATTTTACACTATAAAATATAGCAATAATAAAAGATACATTTTAAGTAATGGTTCTTTACTATAAAAATAAAGAATATATTTTAGTAATATTTTTCTATAATTTATTAATAGTCCTCAAACTACTAAAAACAATATAATCTTCACTGTTCATTTCTTTTTAAAGAATAATATATATCCACTAACTTTTCGGATTTTTCAACGGTTAAGCGATTTCGTAAATTCGAATGTACAAAAGATCAATTAGAGAAAAGACAATTCAATTTTAGCCGATGCAGGTATTTTCAACAATTTTAGCGCGAGTGATGATAATTGAGGATATAATATTTGTACAATACCCCAGAAAGTCTGCGCTGATGTTACTCCTTTCTTCTGCAAAATCTGAAACATATCTATATTGTTCAGATAATTATTCAATCCTGGTTGATCTTCAACATTTAAGTGTTTCCTTAAAGAAATATAAAGCGATTTCTTTCACATTTTCTTGATGAAGAAATCGTTTCCCCCTGTGGATACAGAAAAATAATTGGGATTAAAATTTTTTTCGGGCGAGCTTGGAATATTTTCATAACAATCATCTGTTGAAATATTTAGTTTTAGTCATTCTTCACAGGCATCTGCTTACGTTAGACTTTTGGCACACATGAGTTTACATACGGAATCAAAGAGTACAATATAGTCTTGTAATTTGGACGCAAATGAATATTCCTTAAGTAATTGCAAATTTTGAGCAGAAATTGTGACTTTCTGTTCATCTACTAGAGTTTGCATTATATGTATTATAAATTCTTTAAGTAACATCTAAAAGCGTCGCGATAGCTACACCATCTTGTTTGGCATAGTAACATAATTTTCTCTACGATTTTTCAGTTCCCTTTCTAGATTTGCCATTTTAAACTCTCTCGTAATATATTACTTATAGATTATGCAAAATCCATCGGTACAAGAGATTTAGCCAATAAATTGGCACTATGACTGTGACAAGTAAAATGCCAAATATTTACCTGTCGGCCCAGAGTAGAAATCATTGATAATTCGTTGTCAGAAACTACGCAATATATGGCAATGTTGAATTTTTCTTTTGCTAATAGCACAGCTTCTTCGACAATATGTTTTAACTGTAGACTCGTTTCCCTTAATTCAGTTAAATTGCAGAATTTAAGAAATAAATAAGATATGCTTTTCATTAACATTAATGATACATACGGTATTCTTTATGTTAGCTGCTGAATTTTTCCATCTATCAATTAAAAGAACTCCTTCAGTACCTTGAATCTTAATTTTTTTATTTATTGAATTTTGATGTATTTTATCTAAAAATCTTTTTAGAAAAGTGCTTTCTCGTTGATGAATTATAGCTTGTTTAACAGCTGCAGAAACTTTTTAAGGCTTCCGACTAGTCGCGGCGACCATGTTGGAATTATGACATCAAAAGTGAGAAATGACGTTAATTTATGTTGCGTATTTTAAATAAAGACCTGGAAAAAAGGAAATGACGAGATCACTTTAAAATACTTGTAAAAATCAATGAAAACTGTTCTTTCCTCCCTCAGTAAATGATCATAAAAAGCACGTAAAGTGAGCCTATATTCGGGCAGAAAACACGACAACTATTAAAATAAGTAAAATATACGCCTTTACATATAAAATTCCAAGATAACTTTAGTTTTTATTGATAATTACGACTTTCATAAGTACGAGACAAGTCACATTTTCATAATTAAGCAAATAATAACGAAATAGCACGCAACATAAATTTCGTCGTCAAAACGTTACTTTTCCACGCCTATATGTTCGACCATTTATCGTAGCGTGACCATAACACACTTGCCTGCGGCATGTCGAGAGTGAATGAGAAAGCGAACTCCTTCTCACACTAGTCGCTTGTTTCACGCGACCGAAAATGCTTTCTCGGCAATTTCGGCCGCTCGGCGGTTCTAGGCATCAATAAGGGGCGGAAAGTATCCTAAATAACATATAAGTTTTAATAAATTGTAGTAATAGTGTACCTCTCCCCTTAATCCAGAATAATATATAATATATAATGTATAAATAATATTATATAATAATATTATATAATATAATATGCAACAGTTTACGAGATATATTTAATTGTTTACGATATATTTAATTGTTTAATATGCGTTATATATTTTCCCTTCATAAACTTTTTTCACTCGCTCTCGGTTTATTGAGATTTAAACGCAAAACATTGAAATTCTCGTAAAATGTAGCCCTCGTAATGACAAACAAATCTAACCCTGAATAAGTTTGAAATGTTCATTAGTTCTTGCAAAAAGCCATTTGTTCATTAAAAACCTGTCTGTGGAAAACTTAATTTCTTCATCTTTGAACATTCGCACAGCAATTTACGGGAGTGATTTTTCTTCTTCAAAAATTGTACTATCACATAATAACAAAATGATTTTTTGCAGTTAAAGTATTAACCGTAAAACATCTTTAAAAAGTGGATATCTTAAAAAAAATGGAAATAATTTCCTTACTATGCATCATATCAAATAGCAATAGTGTGAAGCATTCGAAATCTGACATTTTTCTACGAATTTAAAGAAAAAAGATTATCCTCCGATTATTAGGAACCGAGATAACAATTTTTTTTCAAAAAATCATTGTGGCTCTAGTTTTTAAGAGTTAAGATTAAGAGTTCTGTCTAGCACCAATTTGCCAATGGAAGAATTAAATTTGTTGTTGAAAAATTCTCGAATTTTTGCTGCCGAAAAAGTTTGTTTAAAATCATTGAAAAATTGAAGAACGCGAGCGAGGCAGTGCGCCGAGCTGAATGAGGGAAGCAAAGTTAATAAAAAACGTGTTTTTTAAAAATAAACAAAACATTCAGTTTTTTTTTTAAACTGAAGTTTGTTTTTAATATTTTATGTATGTTTTAAATAGCTTTAGAAAAAAAAATCATGTTTAAAAAGAACACCTTTTAAACATATATTTATTATATTTTATTATATTTTATAACGCATTTTTACTTTCAAGTATTTTGAAACGAAAGCGCAGGGAAAGGATTTTTTTTTCACGACGAACAGCAATATTCACGTCAGTCCGCAAACTCTTGTAGCACTGTCAGTCCGCAGGAGGCTGAGATCGCCTGAACTTAAGAAGAACACGTTTCTTCAGCTTAATGAGTCATCGGACTGCACCATTCAGCCACGGTACGGAGGGACAAGAAACACGCCTACAAGTAATCGGGGCGATTCGGTCAAAAATTGCAGTAAGAGAGGCAATAAAGTGAGAAACCATTTCATCAACATCCCCTTGCGACGCCGCATATAAAGGGGACCAATCTATCAGCCTCAGCTCATACTCGATGTTCTCAAGCCTGATTGCATGAGGTTACGTTACGCGAGACAAACACACGACCAGGGCGATGTGATCGCGGAATAGCCAGCGTGGATGCTAAAATGGTCACTCACACTGATCGCATCGCTGACTCCGCACTCAATCCCATTAATGCTCGATGAGACAAAAATAAGATCCAAGGTGATTGCCAAATTACATGTTAAGCGAGTTGGAGCATCAATTAATTGTCTAAGAGGAAACAGCGACGCGATATCGAATAATAGTTTGGCGTTATAGTCAATTTGACCATGTCGACATTGAAATTAGGCACACGATCGCATCGGTTATACATGCTGCACAGGATAGACATGACTCTATAAAATGTAAGTCAGAAAGTGGTCTACCTGGAAGGCAATATATGCAGAAGACCGCCACCCGTGAGCAAGATAGAGAGACACAGCAACAATGTCAATGAAAGTACCCATCGGCGGGATGCCCAAGCCGATCAGGGATAATTCATCGAGAGATTCATCGATATATAGCGCAACATCGCCCTCGCGGCGGCCCGTGGATCTGTCCGAGCGAACGAGCACATAGTTATCTATTTCGACGAATCCAAAATCGATCGAATTCTGTAACCAAGTCTCCCTGACGGCCAGAACATCGAAACGGTGGAAGGCG